CCACTTACGACTTCCATGAGTTCATAATAGTGCTGCAGGACTGCTGGGGTGTTTTTTGTTTTGCTTTGGTTTTTTTGGTGAGGAAGATTAGCCCTGAGCTAACATCTGCCAATCCTCCTCTTTTTGCTGAGGAACACTGGCCCTGGGCTAACATCCATGCCCATCTTCCTCCACTTTATATGTGGGACGCCTGCCACAGCATGGCTTGATAAGTGGTGCGTGGGTCTGTGACCAGGATCAGAGCATGCGAACCCCTGAACGCCAAAGCAGAGCACGCGAACTTAACCACTATGCCACCGGGCCAGCCCCTGCTGGGGCATTTTTATGTGCTCACGTTACAGGTGTGAGCAGCAGTTATACACCAGCACTACTAGGCTATAGAGACTCCCCACTGCCAGACAGATGGTAAGGGAGCTGTGCTGGGCAGCGACCAGGACTGTCCCAGTGAATGTAATTCAGCTGTCCACCCTGCCCCTAATCACTAGTTCTCTCCACAGCCACATAAAGTAGGGTTTTCCCTTATTGATGTCCAACCCTGGTTGCCTTATGTAACCTACAGTCTCTACTATCATCAGTGCCTGATTCTCTCCCCTTGCCTTTTGGGTACCGGGAAGGCACGTGGGAATTGGAAAGTGTGCCATATAGGTGTCCATTCGGGGTTCTGTAATGTATAGGCTACGCTGACGTGCTGCCACCCCTAACTCAAATGTCTCGTATGAATACCACGAGGCGAACACACGCTGAGGAAAAATGCATCTTTCTTGAATTGAGCATAATACCTTCTCTATCTCAGCATCAAAAGGTCTGAGACATAGACTTCTATGGGCTTCCCGAACTGAGGAGTATAACAGAAAAAAATAGCAGGCATCACATAAAAGGGTTTCAGCTGTTGTCCTCATGACAAAGGAAAGAGACAAAATCAAATACATTTAATTGTGGTCAATAATTCACTGACTTGAAGTTTGGTTTAGTTTGTTTTATTTGGGAGATGAAGAGGAGAACTTCATACTAACTCCTGATCATCTCATGGCAGACATAACAATAGTGTTGAAGAGTGGAATAAAAATGAATTTGCCTGAAATATACCCTGAAAGTCATACTTCATTTTTGAAAATGCTTAATAACTATAGCATATCTATACTATGTGTATATGTACATATATAATTCTTAATAATTAAGAGTATTTATAGCATATATACAGCCGTGGCTGATAAATGTTTAACAACCAACTCTCTGGAGAAGGAGTCTGATTTGCAGCATTTGCCAATTTCCATGGTGTAAATGCCCCCACATGGTCAATTTCAACCTACCAATGGTTTAATAACTTGCAAAACTTAACAATCGGTTCTCACAAACCAGTACAAGCTGGCTCCAGCACACCAAAATTCTTAAAAATCAGACTTGATCAGGGCATCATAAGAATCTCCAAAGAGAAAAATCTAGAGCAAAAACATATCACATATACTCTTTATTTTTACTATAAATATACTATTTTGACAGGTTATATGAAAATGTGAAAGTATACACAATTACTGAACTATGAAAAGCTGCTAACAGTATACCGTATAATCACACTAAAATCTAATGACCTACCTGGATTGTCTGCAGGTAATCTCAAGTAGGAAAACACTCCAGTAAAAAAAAAGAAAAACAAAGCCCGAGAAGAAAAACAAAACCAATATTTCTCTATATTTTCCTTAAATACATTAACTGTGTTTCAAAAGACTGCCTTGCACAAACTAAAAAGTGTTGAGTGGTCCCTGTACAAAATATCACATTCATTCGTGGTCTTCCTTTGAAAGAAAAATGACATATTTGAGTGGAGTTAATATGGGGACGCTCTGTCTGTATTTATCCCTCAGCTTGATTTCATCTTCCCATAGAATAATAAAATTCTAGTAACTGTTACACCTAGAAACTAACACATCACACTCCTTCCCACCCGTCTCTTTCCCTTCTCCCACTGAACTGTTAAGCCATGCCTTGCAGAGTGAAGCATTCTCTTTGGGGGTGGGGGAATAAAGAGCAGCAAGGAATTAGGAAGCCCTCCAGAGGGTAGTGATGGGAAGCAGTTACATTCCCAGCACAATGAACATCACAGAGGCTGCCTCAAAAGAAAACACCTGGGAGAAAATCCTTCCTAGCCAGCAGAATCTCCCTCCTCTTCTTTTCCTTTGAGGTCCCAAGAGTGGATCCCTCCATTTCCCTCTCACTCCCATGGAAACATTTTCTTTTTGAATTTGTATATTCATTCTCCTCCTTATCCATCAATCTCCTTAATTTGTCTTGCTTGAATTCCATTCTTTCCCTCCTTACTCATCATCTCAATAATATGGAACTGAAGAAGTTTTAAATATGTATTCTGTTTATTGAGTATAAATGTTGGCATTTTATGTCTTGCTCTTTAGTTTAAAAAAATTAAAAGATAAAGGCCAAGCCTTCTAAACTTAGTAGGTTTTATTTTTACCAACAGGTCAGTGACTTTCTATAGAAAATAACATGTTGAAATTTAACCTTTAAAAAAAATAAAATGAAAACAATATTTACATGGAAGGGATACTTAAACTTAAAGATGCTGAAAATGGAATGATATTGGGCAACAAGAAAAAGAGAATAAGATTTAAAATAGCAAAATGCATAAGAACCAAATTATAGGTATCTTTTTAACCCATGGTTCTAGAAATAAGGTAAGAATAAAAGTTAACTTTACCGATAACTTATAATCCAATACAGTGAAGAGAGTGATACATTTGTCACATCTCATTCAGGGTGTAACTAACTGACCAGACCACCAAAGTCAGTTCCGTGAACTTGCTGCAAACGTCCACAGGAGTGTGGACTGCACGTCTGGGACCCAGCACATATCTGACACTGCTCCATGGGTCAAAAGGGCCTCCAAGGGAAGGTGAAAATATTTAAAATCATACTGTATAGTCAGTTCTTCCCATTTTGCAAACTAAATCTCATGCTTTCTTCCAAATATTTTATGATTTTGTGATTTTAAAGAAAATGAAGTGAAGAATTGAGGCAAATCTTCCAAACAATTCAACCCCATCCCCCACTCCCCCAAAATCCCTAATTTTCTTGATACTCAAGTGAAAATGTTTTAGTTGACTGACTCATTTGGAAAGTTACCTCAATTCTCCCTTCAGCTGGTACACACACACGGTTATAGAGACCTACTCTAATGTCGTATTAAGAAACTGATCATCCAGAAAGAATACTAAAGACTTAGTTGAAAATTTGGGGAAATATTTTAGGCTTCCCATTCCAAATTGTCATTATATCCTAAATTTTATATTAAAAAATACATATATAATTTCACAAATACTTTAATACTGTCTACCCAAGACTCCAAAAATATTACCTGGAAATTTTTTAAATAATTAATTATAGTAGTTTCTTTACCATTATAAAGCTGTCTATTGTATTATACTTGAGTAACTGAATAGCAATAACAAGTGTAATAGTAAATAATTCAATAGTGCCCTGGTTTATAGCAAAAAGTATACATACACACACACACATTAATTATAGATTTAATTATACTCTGACGTTCATTGTATATGCAATAAGATAGCAGTTGCATGTTAGCTGATGCCATTCACATATTCAACCAGCTAACAATACACTGCCAACCCATCACACACAGGTAACCAATGCACTTCATGAACAAGAAGAATTTATCCAGAAGCAAGTGGCAGGGTAGTTGTGGCTGCCGAATTGACCCAAAGCAGCCAGCTAACAATACACTGCCTACCTGATTCAGGTCACTGCTGCTTTCCAAGGCCCATGAAGTCACTGAGGCTACATTTGTAATATGAAACACAGTGGCAGAACTTTAATCTTAATAGTCACATTAAAGAAAACTTATAGACAAAACTTGTTCCTCCAAAACTATTATAAGAAATAAAACCAATATTTCCTTTAATCTATTCAAAAACTTAAAAAGAAAAACTTTCAGAATACTTACACTTAGCTTTTCCAAATTAAAAGCTTGGATATGAAAATACAGTATTGCGGTTCAAGTGAATTAACAAAGTTATACTTAACTATAGCTTTTCCAATTACTTCTGTTTACTGACCAAAACACCAGTTGTCTGTATTAGGCAGTAAAATATCTAGGAGTCATGGTAATACATAAGCTTGGCATAAGACAAAACTGCAGCTATGTTAGGGGGAAAAAATCAATATTAAAGTATTTAGGGAATTTAAGGACTTAAATGTCATTCATTTTCTCCCACTACAAATAACGTTAGTCATTGCATTCTGAAAGTGCAGTTACATGTTTGGTTGATTTATTGTGTCACTACTTAAATATAGAAAAATGTAAAGAAGACAGAAAAATCTATAAAAATGGTGATGAGTTTGAAACTAAAAAGGAATATGAACTCTTTAGCGTAGAGAAAAGCAAGGTGAATGTTAATAATGAGAGATTTAAAGCATATGAGGGCTGTTTATGTGGAGAAAAATAAGAAGAAAATCATTTAGATTTGTTTCATTTTCACACTGATTATAAGAGAAGCTAAAGGCCTTTGGGTTCAGAAGAAAAAGTACTACTACATTGCTAACCTAAAAGCCGAGGATTATGCCACTCCTCCCCATTGTCCACAAGATGGCACCATTTCCATTTCTTTGAGGGGCAAGCTTTCGAATGCAAGAGGGGAGCGCAACTAGCAACTGTTAAAATGAAATTGTAACAGCCAGCTGGCAATGCACTGCCTACCTGACACATCCAAGCTTCATCTTTTGCTGCTGAAACTAGACAGCACCATTCAGATACAAATGATTACCATTATTTGTCAGGGATCTTCAGTTTCTTACAGATTTTTTTTTTTTGGTATATAATTAGACTCTGCAGTGATATTATGAAACTGATTTTTTAAATTTTCATATTTTCAGACCAGCCCATACTTCCAACAAATATCTTCTTTAGCAAGAATTAGTTCGTTCAAGATCAGAATTAAGACAGAGAACTAGAGCAAGCACTAAACACTCACCTTGGAAGAACCTTGTCTTCTCTTCTGCTTCATGTCTTTGGCGAGCACCCGCATGACGTTCTCCTTTGCAAATAGAAATAACATAGGGAAAGAGAAACGATTTTTTAAAATCATAATGTTAGGTGTGAATGTTTCTAGATCCTCAGCTTGTCAAACCACAGTCACTTTTTCTTAAGCAACTAGGCACCTCCAGGACACAACTAAATTACACAACTCAAAATTAAGATCAGGGTTTAGAGTTTTGTACTACCTTTTGGCCCTAAACAGGTATTACGAACGGTGCCTTAGACAGGAAGCCCCTATGGGGACTTGGGGCGAGTAAACAAAAGGGCGTTACTCACCCACAGCATCTCTTCTTCGGTCCGGACCCTCCGCGGGGCGGTGCGCTCCAGTTTCCACTCCATCTCAGGAGGACTTCGGCCTCTCCTCGACAGCCTCTGGTTTTCCCCTCAGCTCTAAGCCCGTCTTGACTCCTAATCGTCAAACCTCTGGAGTCTCGTCCCCCAGGACCACCATATTTCACCCCCAACCTCTATTTCTCCCACTCCTCCCACTGCTCCTAGAGAGCCCTCCCCAGGGTACTGTTTAAAAAGCCGGCGGGGCGGCAGCCAGAGCGGGAATCCCCGTCTCCGGCTTCTCATTGGCCAGCGCTGCGGTGACGTCAGAGCCCGGGAGGGATTCCCCCAGCGCGCTAGGCTGCCCTTCTTTCCGTCCCGGCTGGGGCCCCGCCCCGCAGCCTCCTGCTCTTTGTCCGCGGAGGCGCGCACTGGAGCGCCAAGCTTTGCCGCGAGCCGTGGCGGGCCTGAGCTCGGCCAGGCGCCGAGGGCTGTCACAGAGGCAGGAGGCGAGGGGGCAGGCGGGCGAAGAAGCGGGCTCTGGGACTTCTCGTTCTTTCCTTTTTCAGAAACAAAAAGTGTTTCGTTATAACGGGTCCTGATCCCTTTTCCTCCGCTCCCACTTCTCTTTCTCCAACCCCATCCTGCCTTCGAGGGATCGGAGGGGGTGCAGTGACTCTCCGGCTTTCTCTCCATTGCTAATGATCACCGTTCGTGTAAGCTATTGATTTTAGACGTGTTCCCCCAACGTGTTCATCGGCTCTCCCTCCATCTTCAAACAGGCAGAAACTCTGGCAAGACTTCTGTGCTGATGAGAAGGGGAAGCATTGATATATTTATTCAATAATTTTTTCTCTGCTCTAGCCGTTTGGAAGTGGTCAGGTTCTCTCACTTGAGCTTCTGAGCTATGTTCCCAAACAACACGTTAGTGAGAGAGGTGAAAGAGACAGTGACAGGGAGGACCTGATTAGGATGAAGAGCCAGCAAAAAAGCTGAGCAGACTGCGGCTAAGTGATAAAGGATGGTATGGGGGGTGAGGGAGGGGTTTGGAGGGAAATGACAAGGAGCCAGATGGGCTGTGCAGCCTTAGCTGCCCACCTGAGCCGCTGAGAGAGGCGAGCTGTGCCATATGCCATATGGCAGGAAGGGAATCTGTGTCTGGGAAACCTCTCACAGTCTGGCAGATTACCACCACCACCACCCACCCCCCGCGCCCACCCCAACCCCCCACCCCACCCCC